GCTGCATCGTTACGCTGGTTATCTGAAGAAGGTCTATCAAATACCTCACAAAATAAGTCAACCGCCAGCTTAATTCTCAGTTGTTCAATATTTGCAACGCAGAGCCTAGACATGTCTGTCATCGTACTTGCATGACACTCTGTGAACTTGAAAGTATATAAACTTGTGTCCTGAAAATTGCTTACCTAGAGTAAAACATTTGTGATTAGTCAGCCAATAAAACATTTGTGATTAGTCAGGCATTATTTGTGCATATGGGATTGCTAAAGTTTCATAATCTGATAATCTGTCTGGGTATCTATCGCTGTCCCATATGCTTACCAACCCTTTCTTCAAGTCAAATATCACGGCAACCTACTGTTTGTTATGCCAACATTTTGGCGCATAGACATAGTCTATGTCTTTGATCATCTTCTTCCCCGTGTTGCCAATATCCGGCAATGTACTATTGATGTAGCCTTCAATGCTTTTGTTGTCGTAGTTGTACCACTTCTGACTCCACCGCCATCTTTCCCAACATTGTTTGAGTGTCAGAAGGAAATGTACTCCATAGATGGCAACTCTACTGTTTGCAAAAATTTTGGGACTATTTTTTCTCCTTGTTCGAAGCAAATGCATAGCAGACTCCATATACTGCAATAAAGCAAAAGATATAACTTTTTTACTTTTAAACTATGAATGCGTATTATCAAAGATAACAAAGTGAATGAGATTGCAATAAGTTTATATCACAAGCAGAAAGAATTATGACACACCCAAAGTTTGGAAGATGTTTAAAAATTGAAGTTTAAGAACCAATCACCATTTACTTCTAGTTTAAATGAGATTTCAAATTCTAGTTTTATCTTTCTGGTCATTACAGTCCCTGGTGTCTGGAGGTTTAAAAACCGATCACCATTTACTTCATGTCCAAGAAATATTTCAAGATCCTACATTTCAAAAGATATTTGTAAATCTCTCCTTATTACTAAGCTAAACATATATGTAAAGTTTACTTACTTCTGGTTAGTTGCATTCTTCCATTCATCTAATCTTGCTTTCCTTGATAGAAGATATGGCTGGAATGGGTGGAATATTGGATGAGCTCCACCTTGTTGCAACTGAACGGTAACATCTTCATCCGTCAGTGGTGGTCGCAAAACAAATCCATGGCGGGTGGAATCATGACTTTCATCACCTTCATCATCATTGGGATTTTCTGTACAAAAAACAAGAACAAATTCCCGTGTTTTTAAAGTTGGTTTTATAAAATAACATATTCACATGGCATAAACTATTATTACCAACAACAACATTGGTAGCCTCACCGCCGCCACCATGATCTTCATCGATATCGCTAACATCAATAGGCGCATCAACATTGCCAGTACGATCTCCATCATTACCATTTGTAACATCTTTATCCTCACCATGATCTTCAACATTACCTTCTCTATCGCTAGTATCAATAACATCATCTCCAGGATCTTTTACATCATTGTTATCCTGACCATCTTTAGGATCTTTTCCATCATTGCTATCCTCGCCATCTTCAGGATCTTTTGGATCATTGTTATCCTCACCATCTACATGATGTTTTTCCTATAAATCATAAAATATATTGTCAAAGCCCCGAAAACTAACTGAACATTTTAAACGGGATTAATAGATTCTTTTTTTTACCTCTGCTGCCTTAATCCCCTTAAAAGCCTCTATGGTCTCCACTTTGCCAATCAAGGTTTTAAGCATCTCCATCATCTTGTCAATTTTGTCACTCTCAGTCACGAGAGGAGCCTCACGTGTTGTTCACCTAGGCTCCGCTCCTCTGTTATGTCGTGTCCGTATTTGTTCAGATGCTAAAACACCATCTACTTTTCCCTCTATCCACTCGGATCTGCTTAACCTATAGCCTTGCATTACAAGTTGCACCACCGTTGCAAAGTCTTTGTCAATGGGATTTGTTGGTGGAACCAGATTCTTATATTCCTCTGGATCCCCAACAACAGTATTGACTATAACCTGCAATCGCATAGCAGATACATTTATAAGAGTTTAATTAAACCAAAGTAAGCAATATTAAAAAATTCTACAATACGAAACTTACATCCCATTAATAGTGCACATCCAAAACTTCTGAAATATTAGGAGTCCGAGTGGCTTTCCACTGTAAACACAACGGGCCAGCAGACGAGCTTGAATCCAATCGACTCCCAAATGTAGTACCTAGCGCAGGCACAGCCGACAAAGCCCACAACGTGATTGCCCATGCCAATCCTTGCACTTCATACTGACCTCTCGCAAATGTTTTTGCTTGCATCCTGCATATACTAGCAGATAGGACCTCGTATCCCATCTTCCCCCAAGGTCTCACAGAGTATCTATCGAAATTCAAAAACATTTGCAGACTCTCTTGCAGGACCTTTATCGTTGGATTCTTGGCGATTATAATCCCATGAGTCAATATAGCAGCTCCAAGAGAAAGTTTCTTCTCGTCAGATATAGTTTTCGCTCTGGTTTCAAGCAGCTCCATCAAACCTTTCACAGTGTACTTATCCTTTTCTCCCAACATCCAAAGATAAGCCTTTCTCACAAAACCTGTGTGTTGGGTTTTGTTTGGGTTCGAGTTCTTCTGGTTCTGGCTCCTAACAACACAATCCTGTGATTAGATAAAACTCTCTTAGAGAAAATCTCATCGGCTGGTCTGCAAATGCAAACCACAAGTCTTCTCCCTTTGTCAAAATTCTTCTTTGCATAAGGAAGTGGAAGATCTTTCCAGAAAACTGAATGTCCTCTCTCCTTGAGAGCTTGACAATTGGGCTGAGATAAGAGTTTTCGATTTTGGCGAACAATGTTTTTCCCAACACCTTTTCGACTCTTTGCACCAAGTTGAAGCTTGAGTGTTGCATGATTACACCCAGTTTTTCTGGTTCAGTTCCAGACTTATATATCCTTGGAGGCAATTTCCGTGTCGTATGCACTTCATCTTCCATCATCTGCAAAAGTTTTATAAAAGCAATATTAGAGCAAACGGAATAGTATAAAGGAATCATATTCTATTAGAACCAAACTTTGTTTGCTTAATCAATCACTTCACAAGGATTCTACACACTAAACTGTTAGTCAATTGAAACATATGGAAAAAAGCCCAACATTTTTTGGCGACTAAAAACTTCATTTTTTATTTACCCAGAACTGAAAACCGAGCAAATTGACGCAAAATTGGTGAACATATATTCATAAAGCCTTATAATTTATTATAAATCTGTGCTCACAATACAATAAATTAAATCTCAACTACGAAACTAGGTTTTCCGGGAAAGAGAGAGAGAGAGAGAGAAAGAGCGAAAGACAAACAAAAATAAAGCGCGAAAGATGGAGAGCGAGAGTGAGAAGGAGACTAAAGGCGATAGAACAAACCTTTGTAGATTTTTACAGATTATCTAAGATACGTTTGGCGAAGAATGGGAAAAGTTTTGGCTTTTTCTTACTTTTGGCAAAGAAGTTAAGCCGTACACAACACACGATGGGGTGTGGGGTTTCCGATAAAGAATTAAAATTTTTTATAAATAATCTTTATAAAGCAATTTTTGGATTTTTCTTGAACTCGTGTTTGGGCCTACATTTCAAACAGTACATATATCTCTATATTAACTATTACGCTCCAGTCATTGACAATTAAAACACCACAGCCTTGGGGGTTACACACGCCCTCTTCCTTACCTTCAGCACCCTGGTTCAAGCAACCGTGGTCCTCGACTTTTTGAAAATATTTTTATAACCAATTTAAAACGTCTTTTAAATCTTTATAAAAATTTATATAAAGCAATTTTTGGATTTTTCTTGGGCTCGTGTTTTGGGCCGTACATTTCAAACAGTACATATATCTCTATATTAACTATCACGATCGAGTCATTGATAATTAAAATACCACAGCCTTGGGGGTTACACACGCCCTCTTCTTTACCTTCAGCACCCTGGTTCGAATAACCGTGGGCCTCAACTTTTTGAATATTTTTTTATAGCCATTTTAAAATGTCTTTTAAATCTTTATATAAAGCAATTTTTGAATTTTTCTTGGACTCGTGTTTTGGGTCCTACATTTCAAATAGTACATATATCTCTATATTATTTGTCATGCTCGAGTCATTGACCATTAAAACACCACAGCCTTGGGGGGTTACACACGATCTCTTCCTTACCTTTAGCACCCTGGTTTGAGCAACCGTGGGTCTCGACTTTTTGAAAATCTTTTTATAACCATTTTAAAACGTCTTTTAAATCTCAAATAAATCTTTATATAAAGCAATTTTTTGATTTTTCTTGAGCTCGTGTTCTAGGCCCTACATTTCAAACAGTACATATATCTCTATATTAACTGTCAGGCTCGAGGCATTGACAATTAAAATACCACAGCCTTGTGGGTTACACATGCCCTCTTCCTTACCTTCAGCATCCTGGTTCGAGCAACCGTGGGTCTCGACTTTTTGAAAATTTTTTTATAACCATTTTAAAACGTCTTATAAATCTTTATAAAAGCAATTTTTTGGATTTTTCTTGGGTCCGTGTTTGGGCCTACATTTCAAACATTAGATATTCTCTATTTTACCTTTTACGCTCGATTCATTGACAATTAAAACACCACAGTCTTGGGGGTTACCCACACCCTCTTCCATACCTACAACACCCTGGTTCGAGTAACTGTGGGTCTCGACTTTTTGAAAATTTTTTTTTATCCATTTTAAAATGTCTTTTAAATCTCAAATAAATCTTTATAAATCTTTATAATTATTTAAAACTTCTTTAAATTTTATCCGACAAAATTTATAAAGATTTATAAAGATTGAAAAGGAAATTTAAAAACCTTTATAAAATACATAATGAAACAACAATGTTTTTTGTGTCGTTTAAGTGGCATAATGATCCAAACACCATCAAATTTACACACTAAAGCAATGAACACTGGACTCTTTTAACTATAAATTTCGATATTGCAGTCTAGCATAATAAGAAAAAAAATCAAACTAATGATTTGAAAACAAGAAAGGGAATGTCTCTTTTCCTCTCCTCTGTGCATCTTTGCTCCATCTCCTGTCCCTATACACAATTAGATCTATAATGTAAGAATTTTTTTGTGGAATGCTTTACAAAAGATTACACTCTCGTTTTTTTACCTTACTTGGCAAATTACGGTGCTAATAACTCTGAGAAGAGATCAGCAGCAAGCTTGAATCTTATATCCCCGATGTTTTCTTCAGAAAGCTTCGTCAAATCCTTGATGCGCATCGAGTGGCATTCTATTAATTTCAATACAAAAACGCATGTATCTGCTATTTTAGCAACCTGATACAAAAGAAGAAGACAAATAAATATAACGCCATATTCAAAAGTTTACGGAAACATGATGACATTTATTTTCAAACAAGCACTTAACCTGTGGTACTTCTTTTGACTCTATTTGTATACTGAATGGAGAGATAACCATCATGTCATCCTCGGTAATTTGGCGAATGATGTAAGGAATTGTGTGTGCATACGCTCCAATATATGTATTGAGCTGTTCTTTCGAAATCTTTGATGTTGCACAGTTCAGTATGGTTATATTTCTCTTCACAAGATGAAAGATCAATGCAATCCAGCATTTATATTTGATCCTCAACGGTGTGTAGATAATGCGGATGTTTGTCTCTATGCCATGACTGGTGAATTCAGTCCCGAATTGAAACCCGTCCTTGTCATCTGCAAAAATAACATAAATCTCGTCTATTGCATTCAAGAACGATTCACCAACCATCAAAGCACTTTTGTTCAAAAACAAAAGAAGATTTTGTTTCTTTCGCATCCTCAATAACTCTAAAGCTGCTTCCATATACTATAAGACAAAAACAGACAATTTTAAAGATGCTCCAAATTTCAAGTAAAAACATTTTTTTGCAGGACTCTCTGGCTTCTTCTTGCTGGCACTTCATCTGCTTGACATTTCCTAGATGCTTTATGTTTCTTCTTTTTAGATATTGGTTCAACTTCCTAAAATGCAAAAAACCATTTCGATGTTTAAAAAGTTCGACAAACTTGTAACTTAATCATATAATAAGGGAACCAATTCATTTACCTCTATGTATCCTTCTGCAGCTCGTTTCTTATTTTTCGTCACACTTTGTAAATCGAATAATCCTCTTTGAGAATTTGTTACATTTGCCTCAATACCCTAGTCAAAATTAAGAATTTTCAAAACTCTAGAATCAGCAATACTAGTTGAATATATCCCATAAAATGTTTGGTAAAAAGTTTTCAATTACCTCCTCATTGTCTTTGTCATCAGTTCTTTGTCTGCTAGTATCACCTGCATTGTGTTTATTTATGCTGTTTTGTAAACTGTTTTGGGAAAGAAGATTGAATCTTGGTGTAATAGGCGATGAAACCTATACAAGCATAACAACAAAGATGAGATATAGCACTCTATTTATCAATGGAACACAGCCTTAAGTTAAAAAAATATAACAGATTGGCTTTTCTACTTTACCTCGGGGTTTTTTTTTCTCACCACAATCTGCAGTTGCCGTACGAGATATATCGTTATTACAGCCATTTGAAGCTTCATCGTCGCCAAGTGTTTGGGTACTTTGAAAAATTACTTCTGTATCTTCATTGTATCCAACAGAAAAAAATAAACCAACAAGCATTATAAGAAATTAATTTTCGGATTCAAACAAGTAGTAAAGATGAATCATCTTTGCCTTCAACAACAGTTGTAGTTTCCTCGTCGCCAAGATCTTGTGTTTCTTGAAACAAAACTTCTGTTTCTTCATCGCAAATACCAACAGAACTAGCATTTTTACCATCAACACCACCAACAAAATCAGCTGTTTCTTCAACAACACCATGTTTTTGTGTATTATCATCATCGGCAACATAACTGTCATCTGAATTTGCTTCACGCCGAGAATTCTCTGACTCTGTTTCTTTCTGCATGCCATATTCAGAAAAATTTTCATTTTCCTATAAAATAAAAAATCAAACAATGCTCTATCGTCAGAATCAAACATCTTTATAAATATTTTTATACTGTCTATTTTTACCTTTGATCGCTTGCCATCTGCTTCATTTTCTTCTGGAATCCCCAAGACTTGTTGGATGATCTTCGCTTTCCTGGTAAAGATCACAAGCATATTGAGTATCTTGTCAAGTTTTTCACTGTCAGTAAAAGGAGGAGGATCTGTGGTTGTTCTAGGCTCTGCGTTTCTTGCTTGCTGTGTCAATATGTATTCAGATGCAGTAACAACATCTAACATGCCGCTTATCCAGTCGGCTCTCCTCAATCTGTAGCCTTGCCTGACTAGTTCCACAACCGCTGCAAAGTCCTTGTCAATAGGATTCATTGGTGGAACCAGGTTCTTATATTCCTCTTGATTTCCAACAACAGTATTGACTACAACCTGCAAACGCATAGCAAATACAATTTTTTGTAAAGCTTTATTATTGCATCAAAAACAGTATCTATAATTAAATAAACTGAGAATCACTTACAATGTTTATCTGCTCTACACGAAAAACTTCTGAAATAGTACAATTCCGAGTGGCTTTCCACTGTAAACAGAACGGGCCTGCAGACGAGCTTGAATTAAATCGACTCCCAAATGACGTACCTAGCGCTGGCACAGCCGACAAAGCCCACAACATGATTGCCCATACGAATCCTTGCACTTCATACGCAACTCCCAATCTCCTAAAAGCTTTGTGACTTTATCTACATAGAGTAGGTTCGAATGTTGCAGGACTACAATTGTGTTCTTTGGTTCAGTCCCGGGTTCATATATCCGTGCAGGCAATTTCAGTGTTGTATCGAATTCTTCATCCATCATCTACAAAGTTTTACAATAACAATCTGTTTTAAATCAAAACTTGAATTACATTCGAATGTAAATTAAACAGAACAGTGTTATTATCTATTCGAAACAAGATGAAAAAAATCATCCAGAATCAAAAACAAAGAAACAAAGGAAAACTTTTGGCTAAATGATACTCATATGATGTTTTTCAAAACTGGTGAAATGATAGGAAACTGGGGACATAGTGAAAAAGAGAGAGAGAGAGAGAGAGAGAGAGAGAGAGAGAGAGAGAGAGAGAGAGAGAGAGAGAGAGAGAGAGAGAGAGAGAGAGAGAGAGAGAGAGAGAGAGAGATTTATAAAGGCTTAGAAATCTTTATAAATCGGCAACCACAAAGGAGTTAGTGAAACAAATCGGAATTGCAACGAAAAACAAATTGGTGATTCACAATTCACGAATCACATATCTTTCAAAATCGGTAACTACAGCGAAACAAATCACAAATTTAACCAAAACAAATTCGTGATTCTCAATTCGCAAATCACAAATCTTCAAAATCGTAACAACAATAGATTCAGCAAAACAAATCACAGTTTAAACGAATAAAATAACAAATCACATACCTTTTCCGAGTAAAACAAATCTGAAGTTTCCGATCACGATTCGTGGATAGTTTTTTCGCCAACTCTCTCGACTCACGAAGAAAAGTATTGAGAATGACCTAGTGATAATTTTGCCAACTCTCTCTCTCTCGACTCGTGATCAGAATTTTCCAATCATAATTCACGGATCGTTTTTCGCAAACTCTATCTCTCTCTCTCTCGACTCGCAGATGAATTTTGATTTCTGATAACCTAGGGATAAATTTGTAATTTCAATAGTTAAATATTTGTATTCATAAAAATATTCACCTTGTTGTAGTATTATTGAACAGTGGTACAATAAACGGTGTATTTTTAAAATTTTCCCTTTTATCTTTATTTTATTTGTTGACAAAAATGTATTTACAAAGCTGCCATTATGATGTAATTAATAAAATAGTAATTATATTATTTTTAAGTCTGCCATAACTAAGCCAATAGACTTTCATAGTTTGGTATACTTTTTTTTTTTGCATACGTGGCTGATTAATAGATTTAATGTTATTAATGACAGATTTAAATCATAAATGTTTATTTTTCAGTAGATTTATTATGAAATTTGTAGATTTTTGTTTTGTTTTTGATGATAGATTAGTTATGAATTCGTAGATATTTTAATTATAATTGTAGATTTATCAGTAATGAATGGTGATTAGTATGATGACAGATTTATATTGTCTGAATGTTAGCTTTATTTTGGCATAATAGAATTATTATTAATTGGGGTATAATTATTAATTCAGAATCGTATGTAAGGTCTTCGGAGCAATGAGTGTAGATTTACTCGTTGTGTTGATAGATTTGTTAAACATCTGTAGATTTTCTAAAGATGGTGGTAGATCTACACAATTTTTTGTAATTACTTAAATTATCTCCAGTCGGTAGATTTATTGCTGCATGTTGCGCAGAGTTTTATATTCAATATGGTAGTGTTCGGGAGCAAATTATGTGTTGCTTACAGAGGGTGTTTGTTCATCCGGGTTGATGAGCTGAACCTCGCAAGTTTGTCCTCTGAGGGTATGAGCGGTATGCGGTTCCTGGGTGAGAAATTAATTGAGTAGGTCCTGCAACATTCACAACGGGTAAGCCGGGACTTCGGAAAACCAGAAAATGGTTTTTCTTCCGAATGTTCTCCGATACTCAAGTTAGATTACGTTCTAACGAAAATGGATTATGAAGGGTGGATAAAGAGTGATTGTTTATGGTTTGGATACCCCGTCCGAGGATCGTGATGTCTCTGCTATTTGGAGTAGGGAGAGCGTAAGGTAAGTGGACCATTGAGAGAGTGGGGTTTGAGCTCTCTCTTGATGGCGGTAAGAACAAAGAGTTAGGGAAGAAGAGAACGCTTATCTCAGTTGTAATTTTTTTCCGAGGGGCATTGACGGCATCCCTAATAAGTGTAAAATTCTATCCAAATAATATTACTGCAAGTGCACAACAAAGCAGTTATAGCATAAGAGGTTATTAAATTCCAAGGGATTTTAATTGTTACACGTCAGACCTTAGGTTTAAACTAAGTTAAAAGAATGAATAAATGTGATGCAAAAAACTAGTAAAAAAGTAGATTGATTTTAAATATGTTAAAATCAAAGAGACGGTCGCTAGACCTTGGAAAATTCTTAGACTTAATTCAAAACTGCAGAATGAAAATAATTAAAATATTTATTTATAACTCAAAACACAATTGTAAAGCCAATAAACTTTGCAGATACTATCTATGTAGAATTCTAATTTTTCTTTTGCAAATGCAAATAATCCAAACTAGCACTAAAGTTCAAGTTCGATTGTTCACAATCTCTAAACCAAATTTCCTTACAGATAGATATTTTACTCATCTAAGATAGTTATGAACATTAATAATACTTTTGCATCTATTACTTAAACTTATATTATATTTCTAGTTGATCAATCTTAGAATCAGTGTTATTATAATCTAGATGAAGAGGTAACATATTAATTCTAACAGTATTGCGAATCTAACAATTCAACATCAACCTTTGGATAACCAAAAACCAAACTAACAGATTACTTAGACATAGTGAATTGAGATAACATAATGAAAGAAATAAATTGCATAAAAGAAAAGAGTAAGGATACAAAAGGGTTTTGATATTCTACTCTAATGAACATAGTTGGATTTGTCTCCACAAAAGCTTATGATCTCATCTCTCTTTAAGTCTCAATAGAAAATAAAAGAACTGTCTATCAATGGTTGTCAAAACCTAAATACAGTCTAAAACACGAGAGAGGCAAGTGTGCAACTAAGTGAAACTTTTGGGCCAACTTGTAAATCTTCATTTCTTTTTAATTAACTCGGGAAATGTTAGCTTTGATGGGCGACGAGTGACACCAAGGGCTGGAATTGAGCGCCAATGCAGATTTCAGCTCCAAGCTGGTCTTCTCAGCAACAATCTTCGGTTTTGCTCCGGAATGCTCCGTTATCTCCAAATAAGCTCCAAACATGTCTAATAACCTGTAAAGGCTCGAAAAGACTCTAAAAGTACCAAACCAACTTTATAAATAAGACCTATATCATGGTCATAAACCCGGAAAAACTATGATATATCAACTCCCCAAGACTTAGTTTTTGCTTGCCCTCAAGCAAAACAGAAAACTAAGAATATAGTCAAAGTTTGAAAACAGTAACTCTCGACAAATCTTAAGAATGCTACATTGACCAACAGTCTTGAATCCATATACCACAGAGACGACATTAAATAGTATGTTAGTGTACTTACTACAAGCTTAGCAATCTATAAGATATGGTTTAAGCCCTTTAAATAAATTCGAAATCGCCATTGATACCCCATTTATCAATTACGCATGCGCTCTCATCGAGGGAGTATCGTTCAAAGAACTTACAGATTCTTTCCCTTCCAAGCTCTTGAACACATATTCTTGGTACAACTCTCTTATTTTCTCTTCTCTTAGTCGATTTCTCCCTACTTTGTCATTTCTATTTTTTTATTGATTTTTGTTTTTATATAGCTCAAGAATGGTGCCACTCACTTTCGTGCTCCTTGTGAGGAGACATGTTCATATATGTAGGCTCACCTTTCCAGTTCTTTTCATGGAACTCAGGCTGCATTTATTAAGCTTAGCATATTACTCTTTTTTATAT